AAATTGGGAGCCAAATCTGCTTGTTTAGTAAACTTTTATTACACTAAATAAGTAGTACACTAAATAAAACTAAATTTCATACTTAATAAATATTTATTAATGCGAACAATGTGCTTGCATCTCCTTGGAAAGTTTGAGTAAGTCAGGTTTGTATGTTGTTGTTCTTAATTTTAGGCATGGATCCAAGTTCTCATCAATAGGACGACTTCTCAGTTTACTCTTGATAATGTTCATGCTTGAAAAAGATTGTTATCATATATATGTAGAACCGAAAAGGGAAAGAACAGCAAACGCGAGCTTTTTCAGCTGATCGAAAGACTCAGGAATACTATTCCAAGCGTTGAAAATGATCATGTTTTCCTTCTCCAGGTCATTCAAAGCAGACCACTTGTGTTGTGAACTAACATCACATTTTTTCTCCTCCAATATTTCCAATTCAACACAAAGACGTTCGAATTTAGAGCCCCATATCTTCTTGTTTTTTAAATCCAGCAATTGTATTTCAACTTTTTAAGTTTTTTTTTTAAAATGAAAATATTATTGCGCCCTCCGTGGATATTTGTGCCAAAGCCGCACTTAAGGAGCCAAAGAGCCACATGCGGCTCTGGAGCCGCACTTTGCCGACCACTGGTCTAGTGTTTACTTTATTACTAATCAGGGTGCGCAGCTAAATCTTTCAACAAAAAATAAGCACCCTTTAAGTACTTTTTAAGCACTCAAAAAATATTTTTAAGCACTATATACATTAACAAAATGCAAAATAATTTTCTAAGACTTTACATGATCATAATAAAATGACTAGTTTCTGACAAAAAACTCTTTTCTTGATTATATTAGTCATTATAAAATGATTAAGAGATTTTTCGGTTCGATATCAAAGGGTGGAAAATGAAGTCAGAAATTGAGAATATCTTGCAAAATGCAGCAGAGTTGCACGTGAGGGTGCAATAATTACACCGAACTCAGCTCAGTAGACGCACAAACGTACGCGCAAGTATTTCCTCAAACATGCAAAATGATTGGCGCTTTCATACGCTATGGACCGACGGTACGCCGAAATAGATTGTGGTTGAATGAATTGTGAAAACGTTGTATAGAACAATGGGAAAAGCACGCTTTTGCATCATAATACGTGTCGCAATACGAAATATTAAAGAAGAAAAAATCTCATTTTCGAAAAGGGAAAATTAAGTACTTTTTAAAAACACCCAATGAAAAAAGCACCTTTAAGGGCTTTTAAAAACCAAAATCTAAAATAAGCACCTTTACGCACTTTTTAAAAACTCTACGCACCATGCTAATTGATGTATCCCTGAAGAGAAAAAAAGGAATTAAATGAAAATCTCATTATTCAACAAAATGCTGCTCATCAAATTTCAATTATGTTCAATTTTATTTGATTCTGATTGTTTTAAAATAAGACAAGTAAATTGAAAAAAAAAAATCCTCATTTTTCCCACTAAAATTTCAAACTTAATACGCATACCAGATAAGCAAACAAAATAGTATCTTGATATGTTGAAAAAAAAAAGAGCCTCCCACTACAAGTATTAACCATTAGTCATGTCTAGGGTGAGAGCAGACGACTTTCCCACACAATCCAAGAAACATAAAATACAAGCGTTCCAATAAATTTTCCAGCCTTCCTACCCCCTTACAGAACTTTTCCTCCGACAGATGGTTGTTTTGTTTATTCGTACAATAAATACAACATCGTGACCCCTCTATTTTTGTAACGACATACAAGCACCCTTGCAAGCAATTAAAATCAATGTTACTGGTGCCAAATCGTTTCGCTTCTTTTGGTTTCGAAATAATTTAGTTTCCTACATGTACTATAAATATTTTAACAGTTTATTTCATCTTTCGTGTTATAAACAGGAAGAATAGAAACTTCAGATAAAAAAAGAAAAGAGGTGTTGCAGAACTTTTGATTTAAGGGGTCTGGGACATAACCTTTAACATGTTCGTTTTTTGTTATTATTATTTATACATTGCATCTTCTAATCTGTTCTTTGAATGGTGAAAAATTATGTTCCTACCATGCCAAGAAATGGAGATTTAGAAGTCTAAGTCAGCGGTCCCCAATTTTTTTCGTCTCCGGAACACTTAAATAATCATCTTTCTTTCGGCGGAACCCCGACTTTTCAAATTAAGTTTATTAGGGTAATTATGAACATATTAAGCAATAGATGACTATTTTTAAAATGTTTAATTAGAGAAATGTAGCATCTTTTTCATTGTTTTATCATTAATAATCTTAAATTAGGTTTTATGTAACAGGCAGTTATGTTTGTAGTCTTTGTGCTATATCTAGTCTAGCTATGAATTTGTTTCTGGTGCATATATGTAACATAAAAAGCTTCAACTATTTTTTTTTAATTTTATCTCTTTATCTAAATTATTCAAAGTATTTACTCACAATTCAAAATTAAACGTTTTCTGATACTTTATCATTCACATCCACCGTTATGGTTCTATATTTAGATCTTAAGTATGCAAGAATTATCATTTTAAGTTTTTTCTTCAGCCGAACTATGAGAACCATGTTATTTCCTTGACTTATTTAAAGGACCAATTGCATTTATTAATATTTCCCTTTTTGCATGCGACTTCATCAGGACTATTTTACAAAATTTTCTCTAATTTTTACTCAGGAGCACTTCGATTTTATTTTATTTTTCATTTGGTTGATCGTTCTCTTGCCAATAGTTGTTAAATAAAATTTGATTTGCACTTTTTTAAATCCTGTGCCTGTTAGCCCAGCTCGCCCGATTTTCATTGTGATAAATACATAAGTTGAAAATGAAGACTTATAAAACTGCTATAAAAGTTGAAAATGGTTATTAGGGAAACATATTTAAGAATTTAGTTATTTGATTTCGATTTTAAAATGCGCAATAGGAAATACTAATATTTTATAAATGTTTTTTTTTTCTTCTTCATAATTTGTTCAATATATTGTTGTTGGAAATATAATAATTTCTTTTTAAAACCGCTATTTCTATTTCATTTGAAAGAATTTCACTAAGGGAACCGAAAGATTAAATAATGAATTATACGCTGGATCGATATAAATTCAGAGGTTTCAAAACTAATCACTGGTTATAAAAAGTACTCGCTAGCGGAACCCCTTTAACTGGAAACCTATGGAACCCTAGGGGCAATTATGAGAAGTATAATATAATTTTGATGTTATAATTATAGCTTCTTCTAGTGGTATTTATTAAATATACTTACCACTAGAGAAAGCTGAAGTACAAAAGTTATGCTATTGTAGTATAAACTCCTGATTTATATCTTATCTATCTGATTTAGTTCATTGCAGGCCTCATAAGGAGGACAATATTCATTTAAAATTAAAAGTGGAGACAAACTTGTTTCATAATTTTTCAGCTCCTAGAAAATTACCAACTAAAATCTAAAACACATATATTTAGGAAATAATCTAACCAAGATGAATACTTAAAAAAACAAAAAAAAAACAAAAATAGTATACCCAATACGAATAAACCAGGCATACATAAGATATTGAGAAAATATGTACAAATCACATATACAACCATGTATATGGATGAATAAAACAAATTCAGACTCTTGAAACTAAAATCTATTAAAACTGCCTTTGAGGAAAAGATGAAAGCACATTTACTTTTAAGATAACTAGATAGATATTTTCTTTTCTTTTCAGAAATTAACTCGAAAGGCTAATCCGTTAATTTTCTCAATCAGTTAATTATCAAGTAACTTTGTTACTTGATAATTATATATTTGTATGATAATTTCTTACTTTATACTTCAATTCATATAATTTAATTGTTACTGTTAGAAAAACAGCTCAACCGAAATAAAGATAAATAAATAACTGAAATTATAATATTCTTTATTTCTTTAAAATATACATAAGGCACTATTAAGAGAAGCATTTATACAGATGCCAAAAATATAATATAAAATCTAAAGTTTTAAAAAACAAACATAAACAATAACACAAGTCATGGGCATATATACAATTAGAAATAAACAGTCAGATCAAATTTCACTAAATCCTTTTTAAGTAGGTAACACACATATATAAATAAGCTATTTTAGTATTAAAATAAAGCTCGTGAATTTGAGGAAGTAGAGAACATTAAAATTTCCCTTCATAAGCAATTATACAACTCATACAATTTAAATAGTATCGAAAATAGAAAGACATGGTGAAAGAAAAATTGATAGATCTTTCAACTCACATTTATTTAAACATTTTTGCACCACATAAGTATTCTTCCCAACAAATTAAAACTCACAATTTATGTAAGTCCTCACAGTTGTATGGAGCACAAAAAAAAAAAAAAAAAAAAAAAAANAAAAAAAAAAAAAAAAAAAAAAAAAAAAAAAAAAAAAAAAAAAAAAAAAACTATCTTATGATATTTAGATTAAATACAAAGTGGTTAGTTAAATTTTCGTAGAAACTAATGATGAATATAACACAGTCTTCACAAAATAATTAGGTTATACCAGGACTGCAGAGTGAAAGAATCAAAAAAAAAAAAAAANAAAAAAAAAAAAAAAAAAAAAAAAAAAAAAAAAAAAAAAAAAAAAAACTAGACTCCAGTTACAATTAAAATTAAGTTTCATAAGTTAAAAGAAGAGGTTTTTGATCTATTAAAAATTATTCAAACAAAAATACTATTTTAATGAATTTTTTTGACAATTGTTCATACCAATTGTCAACAATACTTGTTTTTTTGACAATTGTCACAAACTTGATTTATCATATTTGAAAACTTTTAAACCAATGTTTGGTTAAACTTTTAAAAAATAACCTTTCGAAATATCTTTGTAAATAAATAAATCATAGATTATCTTTTATTTCAAAACTAATAAAAAGATATGCAAATGAATTTAATGTATCATCTGTCATAGTTTTCAGTTCATGAATCTCAATTAAAGAATCTTTTGTCATACAATGTTTATGTATGAGCATGCATGTGAGATATTTATATCTGATGATTTTGTACAATTAAATATTATGACAAACACAACTTTTAAAATTTATTTTTTCACTTATTGTGCTTTAATATAAAGCGTTTAAATGTTAACTCCAATGAAAGTTAAAAAATAGAAATATATAATTTAAAATTAACATTTACTTAAGGTACAATATTAATTTTTCATAGGATTTGGTAAAAATTTTCACACTCTACAGCTCTGGTTTATACACTATAACTAAATGACAACATTTATTCTTGTACAAAAAAGAAAAAAATTCAAACAATACATTATTGCGAAATTATGCACATTAGATTCGAAAATATTCATAGTTTCTTCTTTCCTTTTGAAAACTAGCTGTATTACTTGAAATATACAGAGATTCCAGCAACAACTATGGATTCTCTGTAGTTTTGAATTATATTTTTTTCAGTGGTAGTGAACTGAAACAGAATTTTTTGAAACAAATATTTTTGAAAAATTATTAAAACTTAAGCTTTTGTTGATATGATTTTATATGTATCTGTTTAAATTACACTTGTTTTTAGTGAACAAAATTCGTTTAATTTATTAAAATATTACCCTTGCTACCACTAGGTAAAATTTCTTTCTGAAACTATGAAAAATTCTCTGAATATATATACAGATAATGATTTCTATATATCGAAAAAAAAATCGAAGTTAAAACTGGTTCAAAACGTTTCTAGTAAAAGTTGAGCTTAATTAAAAACTTTGACTCTATTTTTTGTCGTAAGATATTCTGAGAAAGAAAGAATCTATCAAAAAAAATTTCTGAAAGGAAATTCTTGATTTAACTGATACCAATTTTTTTTCGACAATATGTAAATATTTTACTGCAGCATTAGTAATACAATGGAAGAATGACAACATCACATAACAGCAACATAAATAACCATAAATAAGAAAAAAAATTCAAAAATAAATTGATATAGCACATAAACAACTTAATGCACAAAATATATTATAACTAATAAAAGTCTACCATCTAAAAAATGAGAATCATCACTGTTACACACACACAATGTGGGAAAGAAAATAATGATATAAGTAGAAAATTTGAAGCCAAAAAAGGTAGCCGACATTGAAAATAACACATGTTTCCTCTTTTCTAAATAACATATATTTACTTATCACAAGATTATAAAAGAATTGCAAGTATTTTAGTTTTCTTTAACTTCAGTAGATCAAAATGTAATAAAAAATTAAGGGACAATTTGAAAATTTGGCAAGTATTCTAATGAATAATTAAAACAACCAAGTTTATTCTAAAATGAATTTAATACCAAGAATAAATAATAAAAAAAAGACGTTAAAATATTTTTTTTTTTTTAGATCTGAGAACTTTAAAGACATAAAATCCCCTTTTTATTTTAACCCTTAATTCACAATTTACCTAAATCATTACAATTAAAATTAAAAAATACTAAAAGTTTCAATATCCAAATTAATATAGTAAACATTTTTGTGCCAATAAAAGAAAACTGATGCGTTAGAGTCACAAAACAAACAAGTTATCAAAAGATAAACTCTAACTATTGAATACCCTGTGAATAGCTAAGATAAAATTTAAAGTAGAATATATCACTTTATAAAATACTTCTTTGACTAGTAAGCTTAGCGTCCAGCTTATTTTTAATCACATATTTTAATGTCTTAAATCAAATAAATATGCAATTCAAAAGGTTTTTCCCATATTAGCAATAAAAATTATTCAATAAAACTCTTTAAATTGATCATGTTTTGTTAAAAAATATTGAAGTTTAGTGATGCATTAAAATATAGGCTTTATTTGAATTCGATAAGTTGCTTAAAATATTTTAATGGCTAATATAATTAGGTTATTAAAAAAAAAAAGATTTATTTTAGCAAAATTTACATTTTGTATTTTGCAAGTTAATTCTTTAAATTATCTGCTTAATAAAATGTACATTTTCTTATTAAAAAAATATTTATATATATTAAAGCAAAACCTAACAAAACTCAAATTTTAAGTTATACAATCAAAGTGAAAGAAATAAGACTTTTTAGGGAACAGAAAGAAGTTAGAATTTAAAGAGAAAATTCTAACTAAACTGTTAGAAGTATTTTTTGTACACAAACAAAATATTCACAAAACATTGTTAAAACGATAAAACTACTAAGAGAACAGCAAAAATTAAAATTTTTGCTATTATATATCACACAAATAGAAAAACTAACAAGCAATAAATGTTCAGTAGCTCAATAAATAGTTAAATATTCGGATTATGCATAACTTTTTAGACAATTATAAACTTAAAATACACTGCAGGTATAATTGAAAGATAGGAATAGTTCAATACTAATACCTTTTAGAATGCATTTTTCTAACTCAGTAAAAACATACATATATTTTAAAATCTTCTACTTTTGTTTCATTAAAAGGAATAATACACGATTAAAAAAAATAGCATTACAGCACAAAGGTAAACTATATAATACTATCAATGTTAAAAAACTAAACAATTATTATCATATTTTACAAACTGATTAACATTTAAAAATAATAACATGCTATCTGATTTAATCCGACATTTTTATATCAGTGAAAATTAAAATTTTATTATTTTTTAACTGTAATATTCTATGTACGAATTTGATTTCAAGTTCAATGCTTTCTTAAATCCAATATCTAGCAAAGATATTTTCAATTTTTGTGCTTTCAAATTCGTTCAGCAGGAGAAGGGGGCACGGCTTCCATTTCGCCTGAACACTGATTAAGGGAGACAACTTTAATTTTCGTTCCCTTTACATCCTTGGTGGGCATGCCACTGTCATGCCTGCATCTTGTTCTGGGAGGATTGTAATTTTCAGGTTGGGAGGAACAAGTTGCCATGGTTCCATAGTTTGGAACAGAGACACGTGATGGAGAAATTGTGTCTTCATAAATAGGCGTCAAGGGCGATTTTGAGAAGAAAGCTGTAAAAGAAAATCGAAAAAATCAGCTTATAGCTAGATGTCACAAGAAAAATATCAGGTTAATACATGTAACATAAAAATGTAAGTTTTTATTTTGCATTTTTACATGCTGCACAAAATTTAATGAAATATTCTCTAAAACCTGTTCTAATGGTAACAGTTAGTTAGTTTGGAGTTATTGTTGCAAGAGCCAGTTTTGCTTATATCACACTTTAGGTTTATAAATAACAATTTAAATGCATTTCAGCAACAGATATGTCCTTCAGATAAGAGAAAATGTTGGAATGAGGATTCTCGCATATAAAATTAATAATAAAATAATGACTAAATAAAATTAATGACTCATAATGTCATAATAAAATTAATGACTAAATGAAGCTACCAAAGTGGCGTTATCTCTTAAGTCTAAATTTTTTACACTGGCTTAAAATATTTTTTATATTAAGTGGTTCCTTACAACTGGAATACTCTGGTTGGGGTTCGTTTAGGCAAAGGTGTTTGTGAGTTATTAGAATATGTCCAATATGGAAGTGGTTCAGGCTTGTAAGGCTTTTTACTATTTTTAATGGTGTGTAATTTATTATTTGTTTCATTGCTCCAACTATTTTGCCACTGAGAATAGGGAATGCAGTCTATCGATTTTTTTTTGTAAGTTAGTGGATTGTTTCATAAATTATGAGTTAACTTTGCCATTCCATCATCAGTTTCATGACCTCAAATGCTTGCATGACCAGGGATCCAATCGAAAATTATTTCAACTCCTTTTTGGTATAAATTATCATAATTGTACTTTTACTTGTCACTTTAGAGGTGGGTTTTAAGAATATGCCTGAGCTAGATACCTGACCACCTAAATATTTTGTGAAGCTAAGATGCAGTAGGTTAACCAGAGAGCTGAAACTTCTTGCTGATACTAATTGCTGCATAAGGAGCTGGTACTGCTATATTTATCAGAAGTCTTAGTTAAATATTGGGTAATGTTTATAGAATATTTTTCAGAAATCGTTCAGTATCTGATATCACAAATTTGATAAAATTAAAGGTATCGCATTAAAGACAGGGGTACCTGGTGAAGAGGCAGATCTTCTCAATACAGGATATTCGTAACTACCAATATTCTGCACATTTTCAACAGGCAAGATTAGCTGTTTGTAGGAATCTTGAAACCTTGGAACAGGACTAAAGGTTGAAGTTGAAGACTATAAAAAAGTAGATTTCAGAAAGGGTTAAAAAAGTAGCCAATTTAAAACATATTTGTAAATCAGAATGCTGAATATTTTTTTATTTTTAGAATTTCCAAAACTATCTTGAACTAAACAATAATTTCTAACAGCTTTGATGTGAAAGATATTTATTTTTATGTACCCTGAAATAAATAATAGAAAAAGGGAGGTTTTAATGAAGTCTAATGAAAAAATGAATTAAAGTAAGAAGCTACAGAAAAACTGGATAATATGTTACAAAACCAAGAAATAAATATTTTCATTAGAACTAAAAAAAGTTCAACCTATTCAGCTGATGTTGAAAATATTTTTTTTCTTCTAGATATTTGATTAATAACATTTATCTAGAAACCAGGAGAAATTTGGTTACACTACCATTAATCCACTGCTCAAAATTAACAGTCAAGAGACTTTATTTTAATTGCGATTTTCCTACTTTATCTATTTTACTTGATGCAACTCCATGCAAAACCTTTTAAAATTTCTTAATGACACTGAATACTTTTCCTTAATTTAAATTATAGTTTACATAAACCAAGTATCCGGCAAGATTTCGCTTTTTTCAGCTCTTGCACAAGACAATAAAAAATAACCAATAAACTTAAATTTAGATCTACATGAGGAATATAAAAATATTGCAACAATTAATGTGTCAAGAAATTAAAATACAAAAGTTATGTTTTTTTTTACAAATTTTTTCAAATGTTTTGATATACTTTGAAAAAATTCAGAATGTGTCCCATTTTCGAAAAATTGGTTTCACACTTTGGGGTTGATTATCTAGTATTATAAAGGATGGTGGCTCATTTTTACAAAGAGAATACTGTTCAGAAAAGGAACAGTATTCTTTTCGTAAAAATGAGCCACCATCCTTTAAAAACAGTTTGTTTTTTTTTCTTCAGGAAAAGGTTGTTTTCTTAACCACCTATTTGAATAAAAGTAAACTTCTGATTTATTTTTTATTTATTGATAATTATTCTAACTTAATTTTGAATTTTATGCCTTAAACTTTGTAAGATTTTTATTTTGTCAAGTTATAAGTAAAAATTCATATGAAAATTGTTACATCTTTTCTTTTTTTTGAGGAGGGGGAGGGGTATATTAATGAGCTTTTTAGTGATTTGAATTTTACAATTACTGTTTTTTATATAAATGTCCTTTATTTAAAAGTGCACATTTAAATGTTTATTTTTGCATAACTTTTAGTTTAAAATATTTATTAAAAAAAAGCTTTCAAGTTGTTTATCAGTAAATTTTTTTTGAAGAAAATTTAGGTAGAGAGAAAATTTTTTAAAAAGCTTCAAATTTTTTGTTTTAAGTGAAAATTACTTTATGAAATGTACACATAAAATAGCATGAAAGGGTATTTTAAAAATTGAGTATCAAATCCAGTTATTACATAATATGACACATTTTGAAAAATTTTAATAGTGGTATGTGTGCATTTTCTAAACTCAAATTGCCTTTTTCTGTAAGGAAGCACCTGGATCTTTTTAATTCCTAGGGAGAGCTATGCCATACATGATACTTTTACCGATTTCTGCATAGCAAAACACTTTTTTGCAAGATCATGTTAATCATTAGAGAAAAACTAAGATGATCAATCCTTTGCTTACAGTACTTAGAATGCTGTTATTTTGATTCAAGCATTGTACCAACTGTAAACAAAAGGTCAAGACACTTGCTTCAAAGTCAATATTACACAGCATTATATGTTTTTTTTTTTTTTTTTTTGCTTTTTTAAAATAATTTCTTTAATGATGATTAATTTTCTGTCTGGTTAGCTTAAACAAATTTATATAAAAACAAATTGGGAGGAAAGAGATAATAGTAAATAATAAAAAATCTTAAGAAAATAATTTTCTTACACCATCACATGAGCCCCATAAGAGAAGTCTTTGATGTTCACTTGATAAACCACCTCTGGTTGGATAAAATACAAACAACATTATCCAAATAGGTCCAAGATATATTAGAACCTAAAGACAATTTAATACTAAAATCAATTCCATGAGATTAGAGGATAAATAATAATAATTCAAAATTTTAATAAAATTTATCAATTATATATACACAGCTTAAGCAAAAATAAATAATAAAAATTTAAAAAGCATTTAAAAGAGAAAAAAAAAAACATTTTATTTCGTCAACTAAATATAACTATCCTTAACTAAAATTTATATGATATTTCTCCTTGGATAGGAGAGAAAAAATTCCTTAATTATGAATATGAAAAAAACACCAAGAAACTAAAAATACTATTTTAGTCCTAAATGCAATATGTCATAAACTAGAGATTTAAAAGCAAAAACTAAAGATTGGATTTTAGCTAGTTTCGTAATCTGATATTAGAATATGCTTTGAGCAACTCTGATCAAATTATTAGCAGGTAAAAAAAAAATAAATAAAAAAAAAAGATCACTGCATTTTGTTACATTTTTCCACTGTTTAATTCAAATAAGAATAGTTTCAGTTCTAGTCACAGAAAATTTTGAAGCCTTTTGAGAATATTTCACTGTTTTCAACATACATAAATCCTTACATACAATTTCTTTTGATTTAAATTAGACAAAATAAGTAGCTAATAGACTTTTGTGAAAATGTTCAGCTATTTAAAATAACAATTATTTTTTTTTACTTTTTACTTACCCAGTACCCTTAGCACCTAAAAATTTGCTGGTGCTTAACTGGACTTAATTAAATATGAATCAAGGTTACTTAAAAAAAAAAAACATTATTATTGCAAAAGTTCAAAAATGGTGGTAAAGTTGACAGGAAATTGAAAAGGAAAATATTGATGCTACAGGTTCAAAACTTTATACATGGTTATACATTATGTATTACAGATGCTACACACCCTTTAAATTTAAATGGCTAGATGTTAAAATGCACATTTTGAGAAAAAATGGATTACTTACCATTACAACTGCATAAACAGGTGAATATATATTTTGAGCATGAGCCTAAGAATAAACAGATCCATCACTCAATTTTTTGAAAATGAAACATTTTTACAGAAGTGTTCATACATGAATTGAAATGAGTGGATTACCAAATACAATTAAAATTAATCATTAGATTCTGTAACAATAACTAATCTGTGAAAAGATATTAGTTAAGATGTGATAATATAAATGAAGTTCTTGTATAAAAAAATAAGATTTAAATTTAATAACTTTAACAAAAATTATAAAAAATTAATTTATATTAAAATTTTTACAAACATTACTTTTCTAAATAAAAGTAATAATAATAAAAACATTTTTTTTTAACTAAACTAAAATAATAATAACTAAAACTTTAAGCCAGAATAGCTTAAGTTTAAATATTTATATAATGGAAGATGGGAAATAAACATCTGATTAATATGTATGTAAAAAACAACTTTTAATCCCAGCTTAAAGTTAAGAAGAGCCTGGATTAACACTCAAAGAGTTAAAACCTATATATTAAAAAAGAATTAAAAAAAAATCACTCTCCATTCAAAATAGGCAAAGTATCATAATCATTAAGAAGCACTTGTCTTCATACATGTTTCAAAAAAGTATGATTACTAGAAATCAGTTGATTCAATTTAAATAATTTTTTTTCTTCTGCTAAACTAGTCGACAATTAGTTCTTTTCATAACAAAAATTACTTATATAATAAAATATAATTTCAAATATGAACTTTATTTAATTAAATAGCAAAATTGTTAATTATACCAAACTAAATCTTAATTTGTTTTTAATGTTTAAAAAAAATTAACATAATCATTCCATTTTCAAAAATTTTTTAATATGTTTATGTAAAATTAATTGTACATTTACTTTATAATTTTCACAAATTTGCAGAAATTTTTATCTCAAAGACACCTTTAAAAATACCTAGGTAAATCCTAGACAGTAAAATAAACTAAGACATTTAATTTTAAATGCTAAAATTAATTTGTTTTAAAAGATTTTGTTATTAAAACTTTTTTTTTGTTTTGCTTCACTTTTATGATGACTTTTACAATTCATTCTCTCTTTTTTTTTTGTTAGTTCAATAAATATTTATATTATATATATAATATACCACTGATATGAGGACTTAAGTGCTTTGAAATCGTAGAATTCTTTTCAAATTAGACAACATGGAAATGATTGAGAGCTTTTGGTTTATACACCCATAATTGAATTGCTTAATATAATTTGATAAGGCATGTTCATTTAAATATAGTCAAATCTACTGAAGAAATGCACTCTTATCAAAAAATATATAATTTAATTTTGGACTTGCCTAAATTCAGTTTGATATGAGTCAAATCTATATTTAATTATGTTTATTTTAAACATATTTTACAAAAATTTCTTTAAAATTACTTGGTTACGCAAAACTATCTTAGTGAGTGTTAACACAATAATAAAGTCAAAAGAAGTTTACTTATAGATAAAAACCATTCAATAAAGATTTATTTTTAACTTATAAAAAAAACTTTAAAAAAAAGGAGGTACTCACAAATATACCACTACACCCAATTTCAAGATCTCCCACTATAAAAAGAAAAATATGAGAATAACTTTAAGCAAATTTATTAAAAATATACTCAACTGCTTTACAACAAAATAAGATTTCCAAAATTATTATTAAGAGTTGCATAGACACATAATATAAAATAATTTCATAAATATATATAAACTTACATTATTTGTTCCATGATATGAGCATAGTGACTTCAGGAAACTTAAAGCATGCAATATATTAGGTTAAAGAAAAAAATAACTCAGACTGGTAATATGCTTAAAAATTAAACTATTATTTATTAATCCTTAACGGTCTGGAAGTATTTGAAGTTTCCTTTCCGCCAGGTATAATTATAACAATTAATTGTAATGATTAATTGAAAAGGGTAATAATAATGATTAATTATAATAGAATCAATAGCAAATATGACAACAGTAAATGTGATAAATATAATAAAATAACTTTAATCATCATATGCAAGGCATTAGACCCAATAAATAACAGAGCCGTACCACTTAAATGACGGCATAGGCATGTTAAAGGTTAAATTGAATTAAAAACCTTATTTCAACCCAAAAATATTTAGGGTAGTCTTTAACAAACACCGTGTTAATTTGTGTTAAAGTCTTCCAGAAGAAGCGTAATTCTTACAGCAAACTGAATGACACAAATACAGTGCGCAAGAGAACGGGGAAAAAATTAATGAAATTATAACTTTTGATACAATTGTTTACTGTAAAGCAATATAATTACATATGCATAATTTCTAATTTTAAAAAAGCCTTAAAGGTGATTACCAATTTATCAATTATAATGAAAATTCATTAATTTATGAAGAAAAATCTGTAGATTTATTTTTATCCTTATATAAAGAAAATATCGATTAAGACATAGACAAAATGATAAAGTTATCTCTTAAAAGATTTTTTCTAAGAGTTCTTCTGAATAGATATTTATTATGAAAATTAATATGCTACTTGTAAATGTGAATACTATATGTGATATATAGTTTAATTACTAGATAATTTATTAATAGTATTTATAAAATTATATTATATTTTAAGAGAATGATTTACTGAAGGAAACACTCTGCATGGCAAATTAAGGTATAAAATAAAATGACTTTAGATAGAAAAATAATACAAGATAGATAAATGAGAAAATTGTACTATGAAGTTTCAGTTATGAATATTTTTTGAAAATATAAAGTTGTAAACAAATTATGACAGAATTAGCAGGTGTCATGGAGAAGGAAATTAATCCTGTCATATTTCATGTGCCACACATTTTGAAAACAAATTTTCATTACAGCAATCTCTTAATGGTTATTTTAATTTCTTAAGGAATTTATCACATTTTTCTATTCAATTGTTGCATTTTAGTTTTTGCTTATATAAAAAATAATGCATTAAATAATTGGATATTAACACTAGAATGCAATTATAAAATGCTAAAAAAATTGCTTTAATATTTCTTTTAAAAATAAGCATCTATTAACTTGGGTTGGATATTTTTCTTAGGATAGTTCCTACTACTGAGGAATAAACTTGTCATTTCTAGTTTATATAAATATTTTATTTTTTTGTAACTTCTTTGAAACACATAACAAGAATCATTAATGTTAGATCAAGTATAAGAACAAATCTTAAAATATACTTACATCCTTGGAGAGTAGAATAATATACTACTGTCACTACTGATGAAACTTCATATGTCAGTATCACACTGAAATCATAATATAAAATAGAATATATATACATGATTTATATGCACTGTCAGAAAAACAAAGGTGCTATAAGATGTATAATTTTGAAATTTGTCATTTAAATTTAACTAATGATAACAATTTGTAGCAATATTTCAGCCTAGTGCTATAGACACATAGCTTTTTTTTCGCAGTAATAAATAGAGCATAAGATAACTTTAATATTGCAGAGTCACAAAAACTTAGGTTTCATTTCATTCAAGTTAATTAAATTGTAAGAGCATTGTAAAGAAATTAAAATGTTATCATTTAGTTTCTCAGGGTTGCATATTATAATGCAACTTTATACCACTAATATATTCAAAGTGTCAGTCTGTTATGTAGCACAGAAGTAGAAAATGAAGCCAATAAGTTTTACTTAACATTATATACACTAAGTTCAAAAAACAACACAACTGGTGTAATAAGCTAAGTTTATAGAAGAAAAGAAAAACAGGTTAAGAAATTAGAAAAAAAATCATCAAAATTACCAACTTAAAATTTAATTTAGTAAGTCAGAGATACAATAGCAGAAAACCACAAAAATTTAAGATTTGTGTGTTAGCAGGACAACACTTCATCAGAGGACACACTGCCTCCTAACACACTGGAGCCTTTATGTTGTCAGTGGTAAAACTAAAAACCGATAGTGTTCGAGGCCCCATAACGGATAAATAAGTAAGAAAAAGCAATTAGAAAAATTTAAATGTAAACGCAAAGAAAAATTAATGACAAACAATCACACTTTAAAAGTACACAGAGTAATACTTAATAATGATATGCCCACATATAAGAAAAAATAAATAAAGATAAAGTTACAGTTAGATTAACCAAATCAAAATAAAATATAAATTGCTAAATCATTAAGAAAACTTTAGAAATAAATCAAGTGCTGACCCCTTTTAGAAAATCTTTAAAAAGAAAAACATTCGAAATTCCTGATAGCCGAAAGAAAATCAGTTCTATTATTACAAATAAATTTAAATCTAATAATTTGACCAATCAAAATATTCTTAAAAATCTTAAAGTAAAGGTTGGAATTAAAATGTGTTAAACTAATAACATTAAACTTAAAATCTCTTCTTTTATCATTTAATCCGATGAAAATTTTTTGGTTATGAAGTTTGATATCAAGATCTAAAAAATAAGCACAATTTTCATTTGAATAGTCTTTATTAAATTTAGCTTTTTAGGATAAATATCTTTAATTAAATCATCAATAAATCTAAACCCAATTAATAAATTATGTTGTAAAAAGTTTTGTTCATAAAAATGTAAGAAAATATTAGCAAATGCATTTGAATAACAATTCCCCATTCAGATACCTTGAATTTGTAAAAGCATATACCACTAAGAAAGTAATTTTCAAAATTTTTTATATTACACAAGTTTATCGAATCTTTCTTATTAATGTCCTCATTATTCAAATAAGTATCAAAAATTTCCAAACAAATAGTCCTTAAACTATTGTGTGGTATACTTGTAAAAAGATTTTCAAAATCACATGCAAGAACTGTATTAATGTTATTGTAATTCAAATATTTAATAATGTCTTCGTTCTTAGTAATAATAAAATGCTTGTCATTTGAAATAATCTTATATAAAATAATATTAAAATAATTAAAAAATCTTTTATCTTTTTTATTGGAATAAAGTGTTCCACAAGTGTAATGTGCAGTTTTAACTAGATATGTACCGGGTACCCGACCAGATATTCCTTACCCAGACCTGGCAAGAGTTTCACTACTTGGTACCAGGTACCAATTTTACTGGGCTACACGCATTTATGTCTGACACAATCATATTCAGAATTATAGAACACTTAAGACTATTCATATAGTAGTTAGTTTTGGAAATCTACATATTTTACCGGTTTTTTAAAATTCAAGCTGAAATACCATACATTTACAGAACTCCTACGTAATGGGAATCACCAGCTAAAAATGGGTCTTTAGAAAATGTCTGGGAAAAACATTTTTAAAAAAAAGTTTCATAATATTCTTTACATATAGAAAAAAAATTTCAGAAAAAATCTGATGATTATAGTTGCTGATAAAGTCTCTAAAATTTTTTTGAAAAAAAAGACAGGTGTATATTACAAGACATATTGCTAACACTTTAGAAAATTTCTTTTAGAAAGAGTGTCTTAAAAGCTGAAGTCTAGTGGGTCATAATGTTATTTGTTTAGCACATCTCTTACAATTCTTCTAAAGATTCCATTTAAATCATTCAACACCCTGATAAATTGCACCAGTTACTTCTCATTTTATATTTTAGATAGATTGTTAATACTATTTCAAAGTACTTAAAATATAATTAACATATTCCCTTGGTTAAATATACTAAATTATAAAATTTAAAAAAAAATTTTTTTTTTTGGAATTTTACATAATCCTAACTGGAAAAGTTAGGGAGAACAGTTTCATTTGAATATGAACCCTGATTTTTCTTTTCTGTAGAATTTTAATTCAGGGAAGCCTTGTTAAAATAACACTTTCAGGAGTTATTAATTCAGGGAGAGAGAGAAATTAAACATTACCAGTTTCATGTTTTCAGCAATTTGCATTTAAAGCAATTTATAACCACTATTTATGGGGATTACTTTCAATTTCCATTTAGCAAAATCTTATGAATTATGCATGAATGAAAAGAAAAACTGAATTACCTCCACAGATCTCTTTTCTGCTCCCACTTGAAGGAATCCATAGCAGAAACAGAATTTATTTTCTTAGTGATATTTATACCAGCCACAACATATAGCTGAATGCCCAAAAACTCCAAAAAAGATAAAAGTATCCAATGAGGAGCTATAAAAAGAAATGTTAATAAATTTTTAATAAAATAAAAGTTCACTCAAACAAAGCTCAAATAGCCAAACTGGAAAATATTAGCTCCATGTTTTTCTTTTCTTTTCTAAGTGAAAATAAATTAATGTATGAGATTAAAGAATGAATTTGTGATTTTTCTGATTATCTTTTTCGTATTCTTTTATACCTATTTGGGTATTTTCCTTTCCAATGATGAACATTTTTTTAAGATCGAATATCAATTTTAATTATCAAAAATTAGAAGATTTCATAAATAAAAGATCCACCAATGAATTTGCATCTGAATGCAGATTTAGGTGATTCATACAAAAACTGAATTTGATTTTTAATGCTGTTAAAGTATATTGCTCTTTCCTTTAAAAATAAAATTGTTGAAGATATTAACATAGCTAATTTTATAAATATATCGATTGTTGCTATTTTTGTAATTTTTTTTTTTGCGACCAGGACGACACAAAAGAAATAAATACTTTTTTCGGGGATTAATTAAACTAGAAAATACAGATGCTAGTGATTTATCTCCTGCAATAAGAAATTAGATGAATTGTGCCAACTTCACTGACCAGGAAAAAAGTTGGTAAAATAGCCTGTTGACACCATAGCATTAAATGTAGGAAGATATAATGATATAGACAGAATTTTGAAAAGAAAAAAAAAAAAAACTGGGAAAACATATTTAATTAGATTAGTTATGGAATTGATTGGTGCATTCTGTAGTAGTGGTACAAAATTAATGAGAATGTATTTAAATGTGAAGCCATTATCTTTTAAAGCATACTGGGAAACAAAATGTGTGGATTCTATAAAAAAAAACAGTATCATTCAATAAGAATCTATCCTGAGATTATCCAACATCGTTGTGACATTTACCCCCATACAACTGGAAAGTATTAGGAAAAAATAACAGGTACAGAAAGAAGCATTTTGAAAGACTTCTCAACATACAATATTGTATACATGCTATGTGCATGTGCTGATATTTCAGAAGTACTTGCTATCATAATCTTTGGAAAAGAATAATATAAATATCTTGGACACAACTAACATAATTTAAAACTTAAAATTTGTAGATCGTGGAGGTGTAAGGAACTTAAGAAATTTACATTCAAAAACTACTTTAGAAAGTGAATAGTGACACTTTCAAGGATAAGTATTGAAGGAATGTTATCAAAATGCTTCTGACTATAGCCCCTTATATTCAAAATTTTGATCTTTTAGCATCCATCAATTTGTGGTGAAAAGACTCATATGGAAGGAAAGTACTTTAACAATTCACTTATTTCAAAGTTGTAACATATACATTAAATGTATTTTGCCTCTCCAAATATTTTTGATGTTCTTTGAAGTCAGTATGCTTAATTAAATTTTTTCATATATTTACATAATTTTTATCATTAAATTAGCTTTTTTTAGCCATAAATTTTTCATAACATAATTTTTTAATAAAAATATAGTTTAATCCAAGCAAAAAAAAAATAATAATTAAGTTTGCAAAAAGTAGTTACTAAAGGAAAAGAGCCAATTAGTATTAGTCAATAACTCATTAAGTTTCAAGAAAAAGTGACAACTAAGCTATTAGAATCAACCAGCGACTGGCTAACTAACCGAACATTTAAAATTTCAAGTCTATAATATAGACTCACATATTATGTGAGCTAAATAACTTAGCTTCAATCTTCACCATTGAGTTTTTATAAATCAATGCAGTCAGCACTTGTAATAAATTAATATGATTTATTTGAATTGAATTGAATGTGGGATTTAATGGAACAAGGTCCAAAAAAGGACATGCTGCGCCAAACAAATGGTTTTTTCCCCCAACAAATGTAAGCAAAAGCATATTGTTTAACCAAAATACATTATATATTGTCAAAACCGTGCAGATGTCTTTTTTGATATCACTTCAAATAAGCTGTATTTTAATTCATATTTGACAGGAGTTTTCATTCCTTCACAATGAAAAAAATTGTAAATTAAACATACTCCAATTATATCTTTACATATTTATTTTTTATTTTAGAAAGAAAAATAAATATGATAACACTGATTACTTTAGCACACCTATTTTACCAATTATAAATGAAATGAAATGTAAAAATGCTTCAGTTCATTCAAATTAGACAATTTAATATTGAGAGCACTAAACATTAACCAAAATAGCTTTCTGTTTTTTTACCTTTAAACTGTTTTCTTCCTTTAGAATATTATATCAATTTAATTAATTTAAAAAAGCATGATATTTTGGAGATTAGCTCAAGTCATAAATAGACAATAAAAGGAACTAATTATGATGTGAGAAGAGAAAACTTGGTAATTAAATCACTTGACAGTTATTGTGAATGATTAGGTAAGTAATAATAATAAATGAACAAATAGCAAATCATACCTAGACATTCATCCCAAGTTGAAAAATGAGTCATTAATCCCAATACTGTAAAGCAGGAGTAGAAACATAAAAATCCTGTTAACAATGGCATAATTACCCTAAAAAGGCAAGAAAAATTATTATGCAAGTGCCAAACTTAAGAAATAAAAAAAATATTTAGATTTTAAGATAAGTTTCCCATAATATTTAAATTATGAGTCCTTAGGACTAAAGGATGAACCCTAGGATTCCATAGGAGTAAAGCCTGACTTAATGTAGTCAAAACTTCAGAATCAGGCTGGTCTGCAATAGTAAATATTTCATCATCATAATATAGCTCAAGCAGGGTTGCCACAGAAAAAAATGAACAAAATAGTTGCTTTTAGTAGCCTAAAGCATGAAAATAGTAGCCAAAAACTAGGAAAATAGTTGCCTAAATAAGAACAAAAACTCATCAAAAATATGACTAAAATTTTATTAATGACTTAATTGTCATATACCATGACCCATTCAGTCAAGTTGGTAGCAAATATGATGATTTTCATATTAACGTTAATATTTATATGAAAAGTGATTACTTAAATTTCGAAATTCACGCATCGTAATATTGTATTAAATTAACTTTTTTTTTTCTTTCTTTAAATCATGCGGAATTTCATAGCAATAATCATTGAAAAGGCGATCGAGAAATGAAATAGACTTACAATGGAATCTGTGCAGATCAAATGAATTAAAAAGTGAAGACTAAATTTGCAATTCAAAATTTTTTAAGAAAAAAAAAGTTCAGTGTGTTCTAAAACTATCTTGTGGGGTGCAGATTTTCCGCCCAATTTATGCTTTAAAAAAGAAGAAAAAACATCGTTAGGAGCACAAAAAAGTCTCCTTTTCCTGTAAAATAGTTGCTTTTTTAGTCTTTTTCAGGCAAAAAAATTTGCCATAGTTGTATTTTAGTCACCTGTGGCAACCCTGCTCAAGGTATTTAATGTACTTGTCATAAATAAGTGGCTACATGTCCGATAGTGGGTACCACTACTTCAACTTTAGAGCAATCGCTTTCACTGCAAAGCAATTGAATAAAGTGATTTTTCTCAAGAGACTTACTTAAAATAAATTTAAGATGAGTTACAGCCATTAATAAATTGGATGTGACTAAAAACGGTCAAAAGATTGTCATTTGGTAAGTACATAAAAGATTATAATGTTCTTATCCTTTTAATAATTGAAATATTATTCATATTTTTTTAAATCAGCATCAAAAATTCTTTACAAATAGCCTTTGTATAAAATCAAACAGTGGAGTAGTGGGTGCAGTGATGGCTAGATAAAAATGGAATAACTCAAGATTGAGCATGATCTTCTTATGACAGAACAGACCAAAAAAAAAAAAAGTTTTTCTTTCTCCATTTTATGAGATACAGCACATGGAGAACATATCAGTCAGCAAAAATCAACATTGTTAGTACACGAGGTTAAGCTAAATTTGGTTAATTTCAACTGGAAATGAGCATTGCTTTTGTTGCAAGAGAGAAATGGAAGAATGCTAAGCTCCACAAGGAACATCATGCCAGTTCCAGAAGGGTACAGGCTTTTTAATACTGATATATTTCCCCTAAAAGGTTTAAAAATAGGTACTTGAAACTTATTTCGAAATAAAGTATTAAAAATACAACACCTGCAACTGTTCTTATTGTTGACTTTGCATGGCAGTTTAGGACTACAGGTGTGAATAGGTAAAGTTGCATTGTCCTCTTTCTATTCATTTACATATTACAATTAAAAAAAATATATTATGCAATCAAGGTAAACTGGTCGAACAATGCTTTATATTTTTGTTTAAAGAACATAGGACAGTAAACCTTGATGGTTAAGAAGCAATATAGAATATCAGCAAATAGAAGCAAAAAAAAAAAATTTTATTACACCAAACCAGAAATTAAAATGAAGTTAAAAATAATGAAATAAAAGTTAACTAGTTTCAAATATGAGTGTTTTCAAGAATTTTTTTTATTTTATATAATAATAAAAAAGGAAAACATTTTTACCGATTAACCAGGCTTTGGTGATGAAGAATTCGTAAAGCAAGAGACCAATGAAAATGACATAAAATGATAAATTGAACCATCTTTAAAAAGGATGCAGCTAATTCCAGTTGGTACCAACTCTCCAAAACCATCCATTTTACAATTCTAAAAGACAGAAAATTATGACTTTACATGACAATGGTTTAATAAGGATAAATGGTTGAATTGATAAGTTTCTAAAAACTATTTCTATAACTCATGACCAACTTCTTTAGGCACTTAAAATTTAAAAAATAAATAAATAAAAGTGAAAACAAACTAAAAATCTTACATAACAAAGAAAAACTATGAGATAAAAAAATATATATATACAGTGATCACTCTCTTTTATATGCGTTTCTCACAAACGAGTGCTTTTCTAGCAGTCTTGGCTGGGGATATAGAAAAACAATGATAACTTTTATTTATTTATGCATTGCACTGAAAAACCATCTCTCACTTATGGGTAATTGACAATCACTATCATTTGAGCTGAATTGATTATGATGCTGATTTTAATTATAACAGTAACCTACTAGGGCGAAACTTTAGCATGTGGCAGTGGAAATATATATATCAGGTGAATTACTAGCCTCCCTGTGGAAGGAAATAAAAAAACAAAAAAAAAAAACAAGAGAGCCGGGTTTATGATGAATCTAAAGTTCTTTGCTCATTCTATACTGAAAAAAAAGTTCGTAATTACCAATCAAGTGTCATCACTAGTCACTTTTTCTCAATTTACATTGGATATTTCTTAAAATTTAAGATGAGTTTGAAAAATAACCTCAGATTTCTTAAAACCAAAGTCATCAAACATTGGCCAACTTCAACGGAACCAGCGTATAAGAAATTAAAGACAGGAGCAGAACCTAATACCACTTCTGCATGATTAGTTTTTAAATCATTTCAGAATTAATTGAAAAAGAATATTTTTGAGTCTTTTATGCAGTGTTTACAATATAGTGTTTAATGGGATAAGGCCTGAAAAAGAACATCCTTACTACCAGACTTACAAACATATTATTTCTAAGCTAGCTAGGTAAAACACTAGAAATTGATGAATTTGCGGGTGTCGAAGAATGTGTAGTTTTGTTATACGTAGAATACAAAAGAAACCCAACATCAATCCAATGGAAGTCAGCAAGGAATTCCTGCAGAAACAAAAATACATTAATTAATAAAATAATTTTATACTATAAAATGACAATCAGGATAATTAATAGTTCGATATTTAAATAAATGAATAATGAGTTTAAAAACATACTTCCAAGTCATTCATATTATCGTTTTTATTATTGAAAACAGTTAAAAATAAAGAAAATTCAGCATTGGTGTTTCAGTTTAGAAAAAAACTCTTAGTAATAACAAAAAAAACATCATTATTTTTTTATTAAAAAAACTAATATAATCTCCTGATAATACTTAACTGACGTGTAACTTTTGTAATGTGCTAATTTGCTACATCAAAACAAATAAATAAGCCAACTACATAGCCCTACATTTTTAAATTGGGATAATTACATTTTATTTTCCTATTGGTATTCCTAAGAATAGTGATTGATAAAGAGGAAAACAATAAGTACAGAAAGTATAAGAAAAGAAGAAAACAATGAGTATAGAAATTTTTAAAATTATTTTAAGCCCTTCGATGTAATATTTTTATAATAGTTAATAAATATGTAGCTACTAATATATTGTAAATTAATTTTTAAAAAAGAAACAAATGAATAAAAATATTTAGAATTGTTTTTTGATAAATGGTGAAAATCATAGATCCATAAAATAAACAAAAGGAAACTTAAGGGTAAAAAATGCGATAACTTCATAAAAATTTCATAATTTTTTATCAAAAACTATTAATAAAAGATAAGATTTCGTATGGTGGAATCTGTCAAAATAAATATCAACTTTAACCTTAGGCTAAATATTTTTTAAGGCAATACAAGATTGGAAATTGGCAAAATATCTCCAAAGCTCAAAGTCACCTAAATTCACAAGAAATGCAAAAAATTAACAATCTAAAGACATGGAAAATGTTTAGACTGTCCAGGCATAAAGATCAGCAAAGCAATAGGACTAGTTTAGGAAAAAATGTCAGAAATATAATAATATTAATACTATCTCACACAATTTGTAATTTGAAACCACTGAACAGAATAATTTTTGTAACATTACAGTGTTTTCATCTCAGAAAAAAAATGGGTGAGAATTTCTCACCCTTTCTCAGAAACAGGGTGAGATTTCAAAAAGTTAAGTGAGATTTCAAAAATTAAAAAAAAAAAAAAAAACACAAAGAGACTTGAAAAAAAAAATCATTTCTTTAATTATAATGCATTTTTAACATCTTCTAATTTTTAAAGCATTGAATATTTTTGCTGCATCATCATATGGAAAATGTTCTACATCTACTTTTTCATCAGCTATTCTCATTAGGTTGCTCAAATGCGTATTTGTTTCGTTTTGATCGTTTCTACCCACATTTGTTTCATTTTCATTTGTCCGTTTCGGAGTAGAAGATATTGGCTTTACAAGGTATTTGTCCATCTTACATTAACGAGCAAAAAATTTGAACGTCTTACATGAAGAAACCTTACCTACGGTAAACACGTGGTTGCAGAGAAATGCGTTCTGAAAGAGGTTCCGTGGTTCGGAAGGATGGTGTTCTGTTGTTCTTAAAGGTTCTGAACAATACTGGTAAATAGGGAAGCTAGATAATGGGGCAGATTTTGAAAATAATAAAAGATCCAGGAAGAAAAGTGAAACGGATTTTATTCTAAATGGCGCAAATGAGAATTTTTTTTCAAAATGCGAGAAATTCGCGAATTTTGAAATAGGCTTGTAGAATGCGCGAATTTCTCGCGGTTATCATTTTTTAATGCGAGAATATAAAAAAATATGCGAGATTCTCGCGTTCTCGCGCTGTAGTGAAAACACTGCATTAAAGCTTATTTCTGTAAAAGAAATCAAACCACTTTGGCACTATTAAATAATTAGTAGGAATAACATTTTTAAAAGCTAGCATGTAATATAATTGTAGCAGTTTAACCTAACTGGAATAAGGCCGTTGAATCTTAATGATTTATTAATTTTTTTCATGATTGATTATATTAGATGATTCCATGTGACAGACAAACTTGCTTGAAACTAATACCACTCAGGGGTTCAATTTAAAATAATGACTTCCACATAAATTCACCATCTTCATCTTAGACAAAAAGAAAATAAAAAACTTTTTTAAAAAAAACTTACCTGACACAAGCTGTTGTGTCGTAGTTGCCAAAACAGTTTTTAAGTGCAACGTCAATTGATCCATTTTCAAAGGAAACATTTGGTGGAGGATGTGGAAATAAACTGTCCCAAAAATTCTTTATAGCCATTTATTACATTTCTTAAGAGACCAAGAAGCTGTTAAGGTAGCTTTATCATTAACCTTTAAAATAATTGAAGAGAACATTAAATATACTTTTCAATAAAATTTGATTTAAAATGTTACGTCAAATTAAGGAATTATTGCACTGCATTTTTTTAAAATGCTATTTTTCTTTAACAAAATAAATTAAAGACATCATTATACCGGGAATATAACAAAATTACATAATGTTAAGAAAAACAAAATTGTTAAATAGGCAAAAAATATTTTAGATATAAAGTAAGATAACAAATTAGTTTAAAAGCGCAAAATCTTTTTCGGAGTTGGGCCAATCAAAAAATATACGCTGTACTGTGAATAATAAATATCTGTAAAAATATAAGTATTGGTGGTTTACAATGAATTCATTTCTTATTTTTATATCAAACTATAATTAATTATTGCTTACTGAAATAAGAACAATGTAAATTTAGCTTTAATATTAAAGGACTAAGTATATACATAATACTTATACATTTAAAATCATTTGTAAGTACTGCATGCTTAGTTAAATTATTATAGGTTTTTAACTTTTTCAAAAGAAAAAATAATTTTACCTTTATTTTAAAAAATATAAATTACTTACATCTTAACATTTAAATAAATCCTTAAAATAACATGGTTTGATTGAGGAAAACTTTCTTTAGATAAATCAAAATGTAATCCTTTGTTGCCTTGAATTAGTAATTCTTCACTTTGGAATTTAAATTTTAAAATTTCAGAATTTGTCATTTTATTTAAGTGTAAAAAATATTTACTATTTTATATTAACAAGTTTTACCAATGTTTAGTTGCATAGTCATTCAAAGGCTGCAGAAAACTGTAAGTTGGGCACTCCTAAGTTTATTAAATAATAAGTTATTTGCAAAAGAGCAGCATGAATATGATATGGATAGAAAAAATTTATTTGACAGCATTTGATGTATATTTTTATTATTATGTATCATATGATATATATATTTGATGTATTAAATATTTAAATGTTAATAAGGTTGAAAAAAGGAATTTTATGGTAAAAAAAACACTTATTTGTAAAGACTTGAAAATATATTTTTGTAGGGAAAAAAAATAATACAAGTCAAAGAAACAAAATCAACCTTCAAACATAGAATTAGCTAAAAAATTAATCATTTAAGAAAAAGAAGTTTTAATATTTGCATCACACCAAACAACAAAATTTTGTCCACCATGTATTGTTCAATTTTCAGGCATCAAAAACATTTCTATTACAAAAGACCATTATCTTATCTAGAAAACCAACTTTTAAGTCAACAAAGGCAAAAAATAAGTGGATGAATCATAAGTTCCAAATCATACCAAAAAAAATATAAATAAATGAAATTTTTAAACATATTTTTAATGAAGAGTAAAAGATAAGGCAAATAAATTAATTAATACACACTGAAATCTAAAAAGGAAAATAGTAAAAACATAACAAAATACGCCTTCAATTGCTCATAAACTAATTTTCTTACCATTGATGACTGGTAATGAATCATAAGTTTCAAGATACATCAAAAGAAATTTTTTTCAATTTTTTCTTGTACAAGATTAGAAGATAATGCAAAGGAAAATAATTAATACGCACTGAAATCTAAAAAGAAAATAGTGTAAACATAACAAAATACGCCTTCAAATGCTCGTAAACCAATTTTCTTACCATTGATGATAGGTAATAGACTTGGCTATAATTAAAAACTACATCAGTAAGCTTATAATTCGTAAAACTGCAGCAATTAGTAAAGGATTATTAATTAAAATCTATACTGATAGCTACGATTTAACAATAGCGCAGAATGCACTGCGCGCGCACATTACTGTTTATAAACATCTCATTGAAGATTCATAAACTTCAACTGCAGTGAAGAATGAACGTTGTGATACATGACGTCACCGAAGAACATTCACACGAGTTTCATAGATATAAGGAGCTCGCAAGAGGAAATGAAGGTCTGATTCCTCCGGTGGCAACGAAAAATGGGTTACCTTTTTCCATTATCGTGGCGACTTTTTCTATCTGTAAAATTGCCACATTGCCAGTGTTCGTATGAATATTTATTGTGGCTTATTTATTACACGTGCTAAACTTTTACAGCATGTAATGGATATCAAATCTGTTGCCGTAAGTAAAAATTATTATTATGTTAATCCTACATATTTATTGCATTTGTTTTTTTAACTAATTAATTTTGAAACGATTGCATAAATGTTGATATATTCATTGATTATAATGTTGTCTTTCCATAAAACGTACAATCATTCAGAGTTGGCATCGATTACAACTGTAATTGATTACAATATTCAATTACAGTAATCAATTATTTGTATTCATGATTACAAACATTCATAATTTTGATTACAACTGTAACTGATTACAATATTCAATTACAGTAATCAATTATTTGTATTCATGATTACAAACATTCATAATTTTGATTACAACTGTAATCATGATTATAAAACCAATGACTTGTAATCGTGATTACAAGTAATCAAAATATATAATTAAATATATAATATAGATACGTAATCTAAATATATGATTACAAGACTATTGTATACTTATATATGCTTTTATTTTACATAGTATAATGTACCGTATAATGATACATTTTGTACGTATTTACATACAGCGTATATACGAATGAATATAACTAAAATGTATGTACATATGTATTTATCTAATGCATATGTAAATAAATATATATGTACCGACATTTTAGTTACGCACTCATATGCATACACTTATATTGTATCTATAAAATATATGTACGTGCGTATATAGCTTATAATTACGTATGCATGTGCAAACAATGTAGACATGCACATTTATACACAATGAGTGTATGCATTTTATGCAAATGTTACTTGTGGTTTGCACGAACATACATATATTGTTTGTACAATGTATGTCCGATGCATGTACGATTTATTTAAAAATAATATATATGTACAATGCATGTACATATACACGATATGTTCATGTTCAATGTATGTATCCAACTATACATAATACATTTGTGCACGATTGTACGTATATTGGGTGTATTTATATTTTACATAAACACATGCATACATTCGACATGCATATATTGTACAGATGTACATACATACTTTCGACATGCATAACATACCTACATACATACATTTGACATGCATATATTGTATAGATGTACATATGATGTAATATGCATATAATGTACATATATTCGACATCTTTCGTACAAATTTTACATGTGTACATACACAATGTATATGTGTCAAATAAATGTATCCACACATTACAATACATGTATGTTCCATCTATGCATACTCATATGTACTATGTATGAATATATGTACATGCATTGTAGATACTTACATACATTATGTACAATACATTTATGCTTAAATATATGCACAAAACAATAAATAAAATAGAAGTTAACTGATAACGACTCAAGCAAGCTAAATGACAAAACTCAAACGATATTTAAGTTTAGTTTTCAGCTTTAATTGTTCTATATAATTTTAAAATTGTTTGAATATAATAAAATTTTCAGGTATTTTCTTAAAAATTTTGACGCTACGAATTTATTTTGTTATAACATAATGCATAGTTCATAGAAATTTTTAGATGGGAAAATAACGGTTAATTTAACATGTGGAAATAATATTTTGGAATTTAAAATAAGATTATCGTTTGCTTTTCAAAAAATAAGAGAATGAGTTTTATATGTCTTAGAATAAATTTTAAAATGAACTTTAATAACTGTTGCGATACAGCTAGCGCCATCTGAGGAAAATATTTTCAACTACCATTATTATTATTCAATAACTTTTCTGGAAACCGCCAACGGCGGATGTAAAATTATTTACTCTTTGTTATTAAAAGTTTTGTTATTAAGCCCTTGTGTGCTTGTCTCATTTGTTATTTTACAATGAGTGTATANAACGGTTAATTTTACATGTGGAAATAATATTTTGGAATTTAAAATAAGATTATCGTTTGCTTTCCAAAAAATAAGAGAATGAGTTTTATATGTCTTAGAATAAATTTTAAAACGAACTTTAATAACTTTACTGTTATAATTTTTTGAATGCATGCACTATGTAATTACGTTTACGTATTGTATCCTTGTTAACTTGTTTTATCCTTGACTGCTTGGGCTTTTCTGAGGAGGACTTATACGCTGCTCCCCTTCTTGTCATCGACTTTTCGAGAGTCTACAACCTATTGGATCTAGTCTGACTTCGTCAGACAATTGGAGGATAAGGAACAACAACGTTTACGTATACGTTGTATGTACATTGTACATCCAACCATTTTTCGTACATCTATAGAATGTGCATTATATTGTACTTATATAACAAAGTATATTGCCATATAAGTACATATGTTGCGTGTACAAACCATCATATATCTATATTCATGTAAATGTACATGCATGCATTTTATTTATGCAATTATGTACACATTGTGTACCTATAAACAACATTTTTACATATTGTACGTAAATACGTACATTGTATATACGTACTATTATTGCAAATGTATACAGTGTTTTACAGTTACGTACATAAATGCATGCATACGTATGGACATTTTTTCACATCCGTTCATACACATGTTGTCTATGTATACAAACATACAAAACATTGCATTCGCTTACAAACAGACATACATGCGTCGTGTATCATATATGCATAATTATGTGTACTAAGCATATACATATTCTATTATCTATATTTCAATATAATTACGTATGCTGTACTTACAAACAACATTTGCGCATTCATTGTGTATGTATATATACGAATCAAAAATTGTACGTACATGCGTGCGTATATTATATGTACATAAAAATATGTATCCCTATACATACTTACATAATGCACTTGCATATAGTATGAAATTGTAATTACTTGAGTTGAGTTGAATGTAGAGTTCAATGGCACAAGATCCAAAAGAGGATATGCTGAGCCAAACAATATGTTAACATAGTTTAAATGTAAATACTTGTAATGATGTAATATGATTTTATAATTTTATTTTATAACCGTCGTTGAACAGCCGACCCAATTGATGTAATATGATTATAAGTAATCACAATTACTTGTAATCATGATCATGGTTGGCATGGTTTAAACCAGTGGTTCCCAACCTGGGGGCGATAGAGCTTCGCAAGGGGGCGACGAGTATTCAAAAGATAAAAATTGCTAATAATATTAATTACAAAAGCTATTTGAGATTGAAAATATATATGAAACTTATGGTTCTGGTGTAGACAAAGAATTATGATAGTTAAAAAATAAAAAAAAATTCAAGTGCAGGATCGTTTTTGTCGTTTGGTATCGCAGGCGGAAATTTGATAAGTCACTCTGTTCCTCTGAGTAATAATACTGTTTCCAGGCTTATTGATGAGATGGCCGCCGACGTTGAATCAAAACTCATCAAATTTTTGAAAGAAGGTAAATTTGCGTTGCAGATTGATGAATCAACTGTGATAGATAACAAAGCTGTTTTAGCTTACGTGAGATTCATAAATGAGAGTAAGGAGATTAACAAGGAAATGTTGTTTACAAGAACTTTGAACACAGATACAAAATGATCGTCGATTTTTAAATTGGTCAAAGATTATTTTGAGGAAAAAGAAGTTCCCTTCACAAACGTAAGTGCTTGTGCAACAGATGGTGTTCCAACCATGCCTGGTTGTCATACTGGGTTTCTGGCTCACCTTAAAAAAGAAATTCCGAAGGTATCTCACCATTCATTACGTCATTCATCGTTAACTTTTGGCTGCGAAAAATTTGTTATTTCTGGCATCAATAAAATGAAAGCTAATTCTCCTAATAACCGTTTGTTCCGAGAATTTTGCCATGAAAATGATGAAGATTTCGAATTCCTGCTCCTACAAACAGCCATGAGATGGCTTTCAAAAAGTAGGAGACTTTGGCCGTTTCTTCGAATTGCTGGATTCGGTTACTGAGTTTCTCGACACCACTGATCACGTTTAAAGTGAGAGTTTGAAGCAACGCAAGTTGGAAACTGCGAACCTCACTGATAGTTTTGAAAAAATGAAGGAAATAAACGTAAAACTTCAAGGAAATAAAATGAACATTATCAAGGCTAAGGGAAACATATCTTCATTCATCGCCAAGTTTGATATCTACAAGTCAAACATTGGTCGCGAAGAGCTAATGCAATTTCTAACTCTTAAAAAGTGTTCAATGGCAGATATCGAGATGCTCGAAAATAAAATCTTAATTTTTACTGATCACCTTGATCAGTTATGGAATCAAGATTTAAAGAATTGATGAAATTAGAAATTCCGGATTTTATTTTCGATCCTGTCTCTTTTGAAGTTGTGGATAAGCTCATTTCCTCTTTGTAGGCTGAGTTTTTAGATTTGAAGTATGACTGTGAGGCTAAAGTCGTCTTTAAAAAATACGGTTACGAGTTAGCTTGGGTAAAGCTTATGGTCACTAATCCACAATTGTGGAAACAAACTGAGCCGCTTCTCATCTTGTTCCCGTCAACATATTTAGTGGAGAGAGGAATTAGTTCTGTCGTTCAGCTGCTCACAAAGCAAAGAGATAGGTTGGACATTTGCTTCAAAGGAGACAAGCGTTTAAATCTGACGAGCATAAAACCTGACATTCAAGCTTTAACTTGAAATACACCAAGCACAGGGCAGTCATTGAAGTGGTAAAAATGTACTTTCTCACTCTTCTTTTTTTGTCTCAAATTTTAGTTGTTAACGTTTTAACTTTTTCTTGATTACATTAAAATATGAATTTAAAAAAAAAAGTACTTTTGTTTTGTTTATTCCGT